GGCCATTAACTGCAAAGACATTTATTTGAGTGAAATATTTACTAATGAGTTTTAAAAAGTATGTGTTTAATGGAAAGCTTTATCTATATGTTAAAATGTTTAAACATTTACAAACTACAGAGCTTTGAAGTGCCATGAAATTCTACAAAAGGTTGCAGGCAGTACGTAATCAGTTAATTTGAATTTATCCACCTAAACTAACACTTTCATTGTTTCCTTAATGTTTTTATTCTGTGCCCAGTCCTCTTTCTGTAAATATATTTAGTGTCTCAGGAGAAAAGAGTAGTTCAATTTGTAAAACACGGCTACATTGCATTAATATTACTTAGATGAGAGTCTATTTATCACTATTTACCACGTCAGAGAATATTTTATAACTAATTGGTTTATATACCCATAAAATGTCATTATTAAAGTATGGTTTAATATTATTACTTATGTCTGGTTTTGTAACAATAAAACAGGTATAGAAGGAAAGAACTAACATATTTGCCTCTGGAAAACTAGTTTGTTACTCAAAGCTACTAAAACTCTACTTGTGGATATTGGTTTATTATTTTTAACTCAAATTTAAGGGTGATAATAAAAAATACAAATCTAGGTTTATGCTTCATGATTACAAACTGTGCAGGGAGATAGGGTATTATGAACATAAATTCAGTCCCTCATTGGACATGTCTTATCCTCCAAATTCTCCTGTATTGATTTTGAAGCAGAAGAGAAGTCTAATATGTGAGAAATATTAAAAAGTAGTGTGGTCACCCGGCGCAGTGGCTCACGCCTGTAATACCAGCACTTTGGGAGGCCAAGGCGGGTGGATCACCAGGTCAGGAGATCGAGAGCATTCTGGCTAACACGGTGAAACCCCGTCTCTACTAAAAATACAAAAAAATTAACCGGGCATGATGGCGGGCGCCTGTAGTCCCAGCTACTCTGGAGGCTGAGGCAGGAGAATGGTGTGAACCCGGAAGGTGAAGCCTGCAGTGAGCCAAGATTGCACCACCGCATTCCAGCCTGGGCGACAGAGCAAGACTCCATATCAGAAAGAAAAAAAAAAAAAAAAAGTAGTGTGGTAAAGTTCTACATTAAAATATTTTTAAACTTTAAAAAAAACTGTAAATTTACAAGAATTAAAAAGGAAAAAATTGCTATCACATGAAATGTAGTGATCATTCAAATAGTCAGACTCACTAGTAATATGAAGTTAATGTAAAAATAACCCTTCCTTTGCCTATGGATCTTTTATTCTACAGATTTTGCAGTTAAAGTTTCACTGAGACATGCTACAGTTAAACAACTCAAAATGGAAAAAATTAGCTTCTTGTAACTATTAAAATAAGCATCATATTTGCACATATCATAGTCAAATTTTTGATCAAATCTCTTCATTGCAGTGAACAATTAAATATCTTCAACAATTAAATATCTTTACACCGTATGATACCTATTAAAATTCAAATTTCAGATTAAGAATGAAGATTATCAAGCATAAAAACAGCTCAATAGACTCCTTTTTACATATACTTGCTCCTGACAAATATTTTAATAATGTGATGACTATAACTGAATGTGCCACTGAAGCTAAATGTTTTTAACACCTCTGTAAAAAGGACAAGCTATATAAATGAATTCATCTTTCTAGTGTATTATAATATTTCCACTTATCAATATACACTTATTGTTTCCATTCATTAGCGCATCCCAAAAGAAAGTTTTCATCTTTTTAACAGGGTTACCATAGAAATTTGTTTGGGGTTAGTGTATGAAGGGGTCATATCAAAATTGAAGCCTTTTGTAGTTTCATTTTTTTTAATGTGTGTTTAAGAGCCCCTGAATTCTCAAGGGTGTTATTCAAAAGTCATAACATGACTATCCTCTGAATTTAAAATTATGCCACAATAAGTATATCTGTGTTTATGAGAAAACAAAACTTTAGTTAAAAAAGTAACACACCTAGTTGAAGGAACACAATATGTTAAAACATTTCCAAAGATTATTTTCATTTTAAACTTTCATTACATTTGGAAACGCAACTAGTACAACTGCTGTAATAAAACTAAATCAATTCTAAAAAGAAAGAATCCTTTAAGTAACTTTCATTTACTGTAACACATAAACTGTCATTTTACTAATCAAAGGTGTCCTCTGAGCTTTACAATAATTGATCTCTTCAATGTTTTGAAGAGACAGTAACATTCACATAAAGAAATAATAGTGGGTTATTTTCCTTTTGGAAATACTACAGTTAATCTAATATTTAAAACTGAATAAAGAGAGGATTAGACATAAACATATTTTTACCTCCACTCACATGAAGTCTATAAATGGAATTATCACATAACTACAACTAGTGTGGTTAAAAATCTCCGGGTCTCTTAAGACCAAAATGAAAACCAATTTCTTAACATAGTAGTTCCCCCTTAAATATGTTTCAATACACCCAGGGGATGCCTAAAACTGTAAATACTACTAAGCCCTATACAGACTATGTTTTTCCATATATATAAAAAACCAATGATAAATTTTCATTTATAAATTAGGTACAGCAAGAGATTAACCACAATAACAATGAAATAGAACAATTATAATAATATGCTGTACTAAAATTTATGTAAATGTGGTCTCTCCCCCTGTCACTTCCCACCTCCCCCCAACATTTCTTTCTCTCAAAGTATTTTAATGTTTTTGGACTCCAATCGTCTGTGAGTAACTAAAACTATGGATAAGGGGGGACGACTGCAATATAAACATTACTAGCTAATAGCAGCTCTCTAATACTCATCAAAGTCAATGTCATCTTTACTTTGGACATCAATATATGAATAGTTTCTAAAATATTTAGGATTTTACATTTAAAGGAATTTATTAAAACTATATTTGAGAAAATTCTTCACAATATTTTTAACGTGTAATGCTATAGCATAACATAAACTCTCAAGATACGTTTTCTTTTTTGGAAGCGGTAGCAAATTAAATGCAAACACTATTATACACTTTAATAGAAAGAAGCACTACCTGGATGAGTTTTGGAAAGAAGGGCATTATATTAAAGGAATTTCCAGAGGACATAGTAATATTAATAATACAGATATAAACTGGAAAGTGATCCTAATCTAGCTCCCCTCTACTATTTCTCTTTTATCCTTTCCACATCTATCACATATATTGAACGATTCTGACTTCCAAAAGATAAATTTATATTAATATTTTAAAAATTAAAGTAGTATCAGCTTGCCAGAGCACCTGTTTAGTATGTAATAAACAGCATTACTACACTGAGATAATACAATATTAGCCAAAATCAATTTGTCATTTTGAGAAGTATGAAAGTTTTATAGCTAAACTATTCATATTAGTTTTAACAAATATTAAATATCATTTTTAAACTTTAGTTACATGTAGACATTTATAGGGCTTGAAAGAATAGACCACAACTGAGAATTCACTCTAGGGTACAAATCCTTCTCTTAAGAGGTAAGGAAATTTAACTAGACCACTTACTTACATTTAGCTGCCAATTAATGGTAGAGTTACAATTCGCTATTTTCACAATACTATATTTACATAGACACATTTTATAAAGTTTAGAGATCAGATATTTAAATAGTGCTCCTCACGATGCAATGGGAACCGAGGATCCCTGATTGATTCAGCCTTCTCTTCTAATGATTAAGGACATAAATTGTCACTTGCCCTATTCCATTATGGAAGGAAGGCCTTCACACTACCTGCCTATAATTTTGATTTTTCCTTCCCAAATCTATAATTTTACTGTAATAGATCATCTAACATGTCTAGATGATTGTTTACCTCTGCAGAGAATTTGACTTCTTGCCAAATATTTATATATTTATATTTAATAAGCTTTTTCAATTGGATTACTTTTTAACATGCAGTCATTCCAAGTAAACCCTCACTGATGTTGCACTGGCCATATACAGAAAATCAGAGAGGCAGAGAATATTAAGATGAATGATTTATTTGAAGGCAGGGAGGGACTCCAGTTTACAAATATATTATACATAGGTACTGATCTTTGATGGGTGCTTAAAAATAGACTAAGAAGAACTCATGTCACTTACTAATTCTACAGCGTAGAACACTGGATTATTTTTACATCTTTAAATATTACATTTTTTTAAGTGGAAAAAAGAAGGTAAGCAATTATACTGTTGTTTTATATTGTTACCAAAAAAAAACCCATATAGAAATATATGGAGAAGTGCAATAGCAAATAAAATACTAAGATTAATACTAATAGAATATAGTATAATAAAAGAATACTGATAAAAACAGAAACTAGCTTTCTGAATAAATGAGATATAGAAGAACAAATCTACTGCATACTTTTGCTCCTCAGATGATTTTGTTTCTTCATTCCTTTCAATTAACGAATATACACAATTTACATAATCAGTTGTTATTTTGTAAGAATATTATTGTTTTCATCAATTTTAGGATTATAAGAAAAATAATTAATTCTAATACAGAAATTTATCCAATGGATGTGCTCTTTAAACATAGTTGGATTATTAGATAATCAAAAAATGGAGAAGATTTGATTCCCAAAAAGAGAATGTTATAATAAATTTCTAGGCTATAAAATCTTTTTCAAAACCAAAAATATTTATCACTCAGAATTTTAAATTTCAACAGACACTTAAGAAAAATAAATTATGTCTTTATAGCATAACTAAATGCCTAAGTTAAATATATTACAAAATCATTTAAACATAATAAATAATTGTATTCACTATAAATTCCAATACCATTTTTAGAAACTGTTTGCAACACACCAATGCTTTTACAAATACTAACTTAAAATTACAGTGATAAAGTTTGCTCTACAGCTTAAAAAATACGAGAGTGATTTTTGAATATTAGTATGTAAAAATGATTTGAAATTCTGTATTCCAAGACAGCATGTTAATTAACAGACAATAGAGATTCACTTATTTGCTTAAATCTTTAAACAAAAGATTAAATAATATTACTGATACCTCTCTCCGTCGAGAAGCCCAACAAGTTTGTTTGATCTTCCATACCACAGCAGCCACCAGCAATAAGGACAGGAAACAACTGGAGAATAAAACACAAATAATTTTTGCTCAAAACTTATTTGAACTATGTAATGAAAAAAAAGTACATGAAAGACTCAAAAATATATGTAAGTAATTATTTTGTCTAGACAAACAATCAAAAATAGGATAAATTTCCAATGTTTAAAATGTTCTCTCAAATATAATAAAAATGTACAGGTAGAAAAAATATTTACATTTCTTGCTATAGATTATGGTCAATATTTAGAATTTTCTCTGTCAGAAGGAATGTAAATTTATAATTCCATTGGTCTTATGAAGCAACAGAAATCACAACCAAAATCTATTTAGAATTGCTATTATGAGTCATAAAATACAGAAATTTTATAAAACCAAATGTCACACATGTACATTTATATTATTTTTATCACTAACTATTTTATATATGAACATATTCCAGTGGTTCCCAACCAAAGATTATTTTGCTCCCTCCCCCTAGGGATCATTTGGCAATGTCTTCAGCCATTTTTGTTTGTCAGAACTGGGAGAGGAGTGCAGGGGTGTTGCAAGAATTCTACAACGCTGAAGACTGTCCCCAGCAGCAAAGGATCAGCAATACGAAATATCAGTAGTACCGAGGCTGAGAAACCCTGGCATATGCTAATGTTTACATTAAGAAATAAGTCAGTTACAATGTTCATCCATGTGGTCTAATTTATTAGGTACTATATGCAATAAACTATGATAATACAGGGTACTTTGTTAGAAGGAACTCAAGCCTAACAAATCTCAAAATGACAGAGATTTACATGAATCTCATTAATCAATTGCAACCCTGTATCACTGTTTATTTTCCCCTTATTTGCTCTGTAGTCATAGATTATGCTATGAGAAGACCCAGAAGTGAACAGAACTGGGCCATTACAGATTCACTGGTCACTGAACACCACAAGTAAAACCTGGTACTCATCCTTAATTGATAATCACTGTGTTCATCACTTGAGTCACTCATAAGCAGTTTTTGACACTTTCCACTCTTGTCAAGTCTTCAATATATTTTTTCTCCTTGCCTATGCCTCATTTGAAGCAGAAGACCTTAGAATATCCTTCAATGACAATGATAACAACAATGTCAATTTTAACATCTATCCATTGAGTGCTGCACACATTCCAGATGCTGTGCTGGATACGTCACACCGATGATTGGATTTAGTCTTAGAAATCCTTCAAGATAGCATATATTATTCTTATTTGAGAAAAGAGGAATCCAGTCCTCAGAGATTTTGAAGTTCATTGCTTATAGTCACACATGGAGTAAGTCGTAGTACCCAAATACAAATCCAGCTACTTAAGCCTCAAAGTTTTTCCCTTTCCATATGCTGGCAGCTCTGAGTGTGCCCACTATCTCATAATCATTCTGTTTCAATATCCGTTCTCTAATCCTGCCTGCAGAATCAAAGGAAATCTATTTTTTTAAAAGTCAGTGATACTAACCTTTCCAACCATAGAAGTGATTTTAACATAGGTACCCTTTATGTAATATTCAACATCTTAGGGGACACTTTTCTCAGAATTTGTTTTCAACAGAAAGTCACCATGATTTTCTAGAAATTATATAAACTGGTGTTTTCTCTACTATCAGACTTCAACTGCTCAACTGACAATACTAATCATTCATTCTTTAAAACTCTCTCCTGAATACTTTCTTTCATTTTGTTTTGTTTTGTTTTGCTCAATACTTCCTAACTCAATATAGGTTCAATGAATATAGGTTACATTCCAAATTCCCTCTTTTAAATTATGGACGTTCCTTAAAATTCACTTCATGCAATTGTGCTCTTCTTTTCTCTTGCTCTCAAAGAGAAAGCAGAGTTATTTTCATGATTTCAACTATGACCTCAATTAAAATGATTTCCAAATCTGCATCTTTACATCTGTCAAAATGAGAGCATCTTATCCTTGAAAGGGATATAAAAGATTTCTTCGTTCCAAGTCCCTCCCAGGAAGGAAGTTCCCAGTACAGCTCTGATAGTGATCCAGCACCTAATTAAATACTCATTGTAGCTGAGAAGTTGAGAAGTTGCTGACTCACAACTTAGTGCATTCTATTTCTAGTTAATTCAAATTTTGAAAATATTCTTTTTTTTTTTGAGATGAAGTCTCGCTTTGTCACCCAGGCTGAAGTGCAGTGGCACAATCTTGGCTCACTGCAACCTCTGAACCTCTGCTCCCGGATTCCAGCAATTCTCCCACCTCGGCCTCCTGAGTAGCTAGGATTACAGGCATAGGCCACCACCCTGGCTAAATTTTTTGCATTTTAGTAGAGACGGGGTTTCACCATGTTGGCCACACTGGCCTCGAACTCCTGACCTCAGGTGATCCGCTGGCCTTGGCCTCGCAAAGTGCTGAAATTACAGGCATGAGCCACCATGCCTGGCCAATATTCTAACTTCTATCAATCAGTGCTGTGTCTGCCTTCTAGGTTAAACAAAATCAGTCTGCTGTATGCTAAAACTTCTTTATATATTTAAAGAATAGACAGGTTTTTTTGTATGGAGGATTGCCTCAAGTCCAGTGTCTCTCAACAAGGAATGTTTTTGTTCTCCAGGCGATATCTGGCAGTGTCCAGAGACATTTTTGGGTTTCACCACTTGACAGGCATCTAGTGGGATGCTACATAAATATCATACGATATATAGGTCGGCTTTCCAACAGCATTTTCCCAGCCCAGAATGCCAGTATTGCCAAGGTTGAGGAACCCTTCTCTAGTCTGAATTATCATCATAGTGGTTATAATTCTGTTGTTATACCCGGATTAATAGTGTACCTTTTTTTTTTTTTTTTTTTTGGAGACAGAATCTCACTCTGTTGCCCAGGCTGGAGTGTAGTGGTGTGATCTCAGCTCACTGCAGCCTCTGCCTCCCAGGTTCAAGCAATTCTCCTGCCTCAGCCTCCTGAGTAGCTGGGACTACAGACGCGCACCACCACGCCTGGCTAATTTGTTTTGTATTTTTAGTAGAGACGGGGTTTCACCATGTTGGCCAGGATGGTCTCGATCTCCTGACCTCATGATCTGCCTGCCTTGGCCTCCCAAAGTGCTGAGATTACAGGCATGAGCCACCGCGCCCAGCCAATGTAACTCTTAAGATGTGGTACTGAGAATGGACACTGTAGATATGGTCTGAGGGTTCATTTATCTGAATTTCAGTCAGACCATGATACCCTTAAGAATTATGACAAAAATATTAGTATCACCTCAAACCTACCATATCCAAGCTTAACCATTAATAATGTTCATGATTAGCAAAGCAACTAACATCTATTGAGTAATATGTACCAAGCACTATGCTGAGTATTTTACATGAATTATCTCTTTAATTCCTATAATTGCAGATGATAGATCATGTATACTGTCATGTGGTCATTGAAAACATGGGAAAGCTAAGTCACAGAGAGTTGAAGTAAATCCTCTAAGATTCAAAGTATTAAATTGCAAGTTGTTCCCTTTGCTCTCACTCCTCTGTTTCACCATTACTTTCCAGCTAAAATGTTAAAAACAATTTACATTTCAATTATATCATCCCTTACACCCAGATTACCAGATCCTGTCAACTGTTTCTTTCAGAATATCTGTTGTAGTAAAAATAGTATATATAGAAAAGTTACTTATATTCAGTAAACCCAACTTAAATACCAAAATGTATTTTTATTTGATTAATAATTCACAGCATTCCTCTTCCTTAAGAGTTACATAATAAAGATTCAGTTTGAGACAGGAATACTAGTTGAATTTCTCATGAGGAGCTTAAATTCTTTCTTATCTAAACTTTATGACTCAAGTGAACATCATTTTTGTAATGATATTCAAGGATAGCATAAAATATACAACTTTCATAATTTCACTTCGTTGAAACAAGGAGTTATATACTTTACGGTTTCGTATCAGATGCTTTCTATGCTAATTCCTATTAGGTTAGCAGTAAAAGAGCTAATATGATGTAAAAACTTGGCTGCTAAAATCAATAAACAGTGTAAGAAAATACTTTTAAAATAATATTCTCATAATTTCCAATAAATATCAAAAATCCAGTAAAATATATCTTACTACTTGGCATATAATAGTTGTCAATACATTTTTGCTAAATAAATGAAATTTTTATTTTATTTTATATTTTTTTGAGACAGAGTCTCGCTCTGTCGCCTAGGCTGGAGTGCAGTGGTGCCATCTCAGCTCAGTGCAAGCTCCGCCTCCTGGGTTCACGCCATTCTCCTGCCTCAGCCTCGTGAAATTGGTTTTTTAATTGATTTGAATAGCATCATTTTTTCTAATACTGAATGTCTCATTTGGCATTATTATCTTTATATAGGGTAATACTTTATCAATGTTCTTGATTTCTAATAAATTACATTGCAAACAAAAGTGACAGTTCTCTTAAAAAATATACATACAAACAAAAACCAGTTTATTAACAACACTTGCTTTGTTAAAAAGCAAAACAAGCAAACAAACAAACAATAAATATTTGTCATATTTATTCAGCATAGTTAAAAAGTCACATTCTTCCTTTGGTGACTACTAGAGAGTTTCCGTCTTTATTGACAATCTTGGACACCTGAAGAATGACAGAATTTCCACCATCTGAATTTCTTGAATGACCATGTGAAGCAGTGTCCTGTATTCCATGCTATCCCTTCTGATATAGTTTGGATATTTGTCCCGACTCAAATCTCAGGTTGAATGGTAATCACCGGTGTTGGAGGTGGGGCCTGGTATTCGGGTCAAGGGAACAGATCCTTCATGGCTTGATGCTGACTTCACAATAGTGAGTGAATTCTCCTAAGATCTGGTCATTTAAAAATGTGTGGCACTTCTCCTCCCCTAACTCTCTTGCTTGCTCCTGCTTTCACCATGTGACAAGCCTGTCCCCCCTTCGCCTTCTACTATGATTGATGGGACAGAGAAGCTTTGCAAACTTTTATTATGTTAAATGACAGACTTGTAGGTTTGTGTATCCTAGTTAGCTTTTCTCTATCTCTTAA